CGACACGAACACTCCGTTCGCTGCACAAGCGCTGGAGAGATGTCCCGTGTGCTGTTCTCTGTATAGTCGAGAGGCTTGCGCCATTCCGCCGGCCCCCAGAGAAGCATACGTGGGGCTTCTGGTTTCGTATGTGCTGCGCGCCGCTTCCCGTCGTGCTGCCTGCGTGTACGGTGGGGGCCCATGCCAAGAAACGCCCTGCCTGCCTCCAGGGTGCCCTGGGTTTCTTTGGTTTTCGATGGCTTTGCCATGGAAAGCGTGACGCTCCCACGTTAAACACAAGTGGACGTCATGGGGTCTCGGGCTTGGGTTTCTTGTCGAAGGTTTCTTGTGGACTGGCCTCCACTGTAGTTCTTACTGATGCGTCCTCCTCTTCCTCCGCGCCTGTTGCAGGGGCTTCTTGGGGGTCTCGGGGGCCGCCTCGCGGAGCCTTCCCATGGACCCTCGGCTCTGGGGGCCCTTTGGGGGCATTGCCTGGGGTCTTGGGGGCCACCTTGTGGGGGGGGGGGGGGAGGCTCCCTGGGTCACTGCGAGTCCCCCCTCCTGGGCCACTCATGGGCCCCTCTTGAGGCCCTCTTGAGGCCCTCTTGAGGGCCTCTTCGGCAGTCTTGGGCGCCCCTGGGGCTGTCTCAGGGCCCTCATGGGCCAGCTCCAGGCCCTCTCGGGGGCCGCGTGGGCCGCCGTCTTGGGCCGGTCTGGAGGGCCTCCTGGGCCGTTGTGGAGAAGCTCGACACTGCGAGAATTCTAGAATCCTTTCAAAACCGATGCGAATCCATTGGGTTTTGCCTTTCGAGGTACTCTTGGGGGTCCTTTTCTGGGCACGCTTGGGGCATGGCATGTTCGGGGCGTCTCAGGCCGTCGTCAGGCCACCTTGGATGTTCTTGAGGCCCCTCTGGCGTGTTGGAGCCCCTCTGGAGCCATCCTAGACGGCCTCTTGGGCACCTTGGCGACCTCGGAGGATGGATGTGGAGGCTCCGAGAGCTCCAGCGGTGCGTCGGCGAGCTCGTCGCCCCCCCCCCCTAAGAGGCGTTTGGGCCCCAGGAGGGAGGACGGGGGGGAGGGGGCAGCAGAGTGTCCCACACGCCGTCTCACCACTGGCAAGCGGCTGTCGGCGGATTCATGCTCCTTTCGCGTGTTCTCTGTTTGTCTCTCCCTCTCTCTCTCTCGTGCCTCTCTCGCTCCCTCTCTCTTTCACGTTGTTGTGTGTTCTCTCTCTCTCACTCTCTCTCTCTCTCTCTCGCTGTCTTTCCTTGCTCCCTTTTTGAACACCGTGTGAAGTTGCAATTTGAGCATCGCCTGGGGATCTCAGAGCACGACGCGCCCCACCCTGCCTCCATGGCCAAACGTCTGCTTTATGTCACCTGAAGAAGGCTGGCTTGTGAGACTTCCTTCGGGTTCCCGCGCTGTTACCAGTGCGCCTTGATGAGGCATGGTGGCCAGCCTTCCAAACTCGAGAAATGGCTGGAGAGGCTCAGAGCGAATAGTATCAGCCACGCGCACAGGGGGGGTGGGGGGAGGGGGGAGGGCTTCTTAGAAGCACCCCTGCTTCTTAGAAGGCAGCCTTAACTACAGATGTAAGGCCAGCGCCTTCTAAGAAGCAGCCTCCTTCTAAGAAGCCCTTCCCCCTCCCTCCACCCCCTTGTGCGCGCCGCGAATAGTAAGTGGGCGTTGCCACTTGTTTTATCCATCGCTTCGCTCGTGCCGCCGGCCCGTTTCGCATCACTGTGGCTGTGTGGTGGCGTGCTCGTGCCCAGGGGGAGCGGCAGGGCAGCCAGGAATGTCCTCGAGGAGATCTTTGGAGATGTGGCGTCCACCCTGTCGAAGAGAGCCGGTAGACTGCCCCAGAGGGTGCCGAGATGGCTCATGAGAGCTCCAGCAGGGTTTCGAGACGCACCTGGGTTGTAGGTCAGAGTCCTCATGGATGCTTCTTGGGGTCTTCGGAGGGCTCTCGGGAGCCTCTGGGGAGAAGTTTCGAGCCTCTTGGGGGCTTCTTTAGGACCTCTTGGGGCTTCCTGGGGTCCTGTTGGGGTTATTGGGGGCCTCTTTTGGGACCTCTTGGGGGCCTCTTGGGGCCTCTCGTGAGGCTTTTAGGGGCCTCTGGGGGCTTCCTGGGCGCCTCTTGGGGCCGAGAGCTCGAAATGTCCGTTCGGGTTCTCCCTCTGAGCCCCCTCTTGGGGCCGTCCTGGGGCCGTCTTGGAGGCCTCTTGGACCGTCTTAGGGCCATCTTGGGCCATTCGGGGGCCCTCTTGGATGCTTTTTGGGCCGTCTTGGAGCGATCTTGGGGCCTCTGGGGCTGTCCAGGGCGGTCGGCAGCTCGTAAGCGGATACCGCCAACATCGTCCGAAAACCCAAGCAAAATGAATGATGTTGCGTTTTCGGGGCCTCTTCTAAGGCCTGTTGGAACCCTCCTGGAGCGTCTTGGGCGCTTCATGGGCCGTCTTGGGACCAACGTGGGCCATCGTGGAACGCTCTTGCCCTGAGGCCGTGGGGCCTGTCGCCCATTTGGCGCCTCACCGGGGCGCTGCGGGGGCTCCCGAGGCCGCGCCCAGGAGTTCTGGCGTCTCTGACCCGACTGTGCCGGGAACCTGCCAGGAACTTGCCATGCTGGGAGCCTGGCGGGACTTCCCGGGACCTTGCCGGGACCCTGCCAGGATATTGTTTGTTCGCCCGGGGACCCCCAGGGGCCGCCACGTGCGCGCGAATTAGAAACGTACCGGAGATGTTAGCACTCTTGGCCCGTTGGACTGGCGACTTTGCGCATGTGTGCGTGCGCATTTGGAACGCTTCCTATTTCGTCGCAGCGCGCGGCGAATGGTAATAATGAGAAGAAGCGGCCTGACACGCTGACCGCTGCAGCGCGTGGCGGCGGCATGCTCGCAGTTGGCACCACGTGCACGATATGCACGTTCCTGACCAACCATCATTATGATTGGTGCTAGCTGTACGATCACCGATGCAAAAATGGCACTTCAGCGCCAACACTCGTGCAATTCACGGGAGCATGTGTTATCCAGTCGCCAGGCCCTGGTCAGTCGCAAAACACGGCTTCAGTTCGAAGCTTTGGCGTTCGTGTGAGATGTGGCGCGGTATGATTACGATTTCCCTGCGCTTGTTTGTCGTAAGCGTGAGTCGTACTGATATGCATGACGCTCGAAGTACGTAATTAGCCCGCGCCGCTGTTTGCAACGCAGGGGCCTTCTTCTCCTCATCCTCCTGGTCGTCCTCGCCATCGTCCTCCTCGTCATCTTCTTGCGGGGATCCAGCGACGAAGTCATCAGGAGGAGTACAGGAGTTGAGGGGCATGGGGGTCGGAGTCGTTTGTTTGATTGTTGCCCATAGCCGTGGAGTTGTTTCTCTCACTGGGACGCCTCCCCCTTCCTCCGTACTTCCCGCCTTCTTCCTCGCAGACTCAGATCGCCCATACGGTGGGGGCGTTGGTTGAGGAATGCGCCCAGGATGCTGCAGACCCTGGAGGATTCCCTATCTGATGAGGGCGGCGGTGATATCCATGGCCAAACTTCGATTGGAGTTCCTTCCACCGGCCTCCAGGCCCTGGATTCCTCGTCGAAGGGTTCCTTATCCAGTACCCCCACCGTGCGCAGGCCAAACGTAGCATCTGGGCACCCCCAGGGGGGGGGGCGAGCATGGCACTCGCCCGTTCGCGCCCCGATTTCTCGCGGGAATGTCGCAGGCGGTCTGCCTGCCTTTGCCCCGCAGGCTCCTCCTTGGCATCGCTCGGACGTGTGCATTTCTCCTTCGGCGAGGACCATCGAGGAGCATCCTTGATCATTTGGCGAAAAAACCACGCACGGAACCGAAAAAAGCACAGGGAATGGATGTCCGAGCGATGCCCAGCCTCCCCTCGTCCTCGACGCCGCAGGCGTGGCACTTGAGCTCTCCGAGCGGGGAGCCGCCAGGGCGGGGGACACCCGCCCGTTCGCGCCCGGACTGTGGGCACGTGTCAGGCGGTTTGCCTGTGCCCGTCCCCCCCCCCTCCTCCTCCTCCTCCTCCTCCTGCTCCTCCTCCTCCTCCTCCTCTTCCTCCTCCTCCTCCTCCTCCTCGTTCTTTCTGGTCAGAGCCCCACGATCACGGCGACACAGCAGGCGTGGCACTCGGGCACCCCAAGGGGGGAGCCGCCAGGGGGTACCACACTCGCCCGTTCGCGCCGAGGTTGTGGGGATGTTTCGAGCCGGTGTGTCGATGTTTGCTCCCAGGCTCCTCTTCTTCCTCCTCCACCTCCCTCTCCTCCTCCGTCTCCTCCGCCTCCTCCTCCTCCTTCAGCCCGGTTTTGTGGATCGGCAGACGCAGCTTCTTCTCCAATTGCACTTCCAATGCCAGCTTTTACTTCGAAAGAGTTGCGGACGCAGTTCAAAAAGCTCAAACCTGGTCGGGCCAAAGACTCCACTGGGATGATCGCCGAGATGGTAAAATCAGGAGGTCCTTACTTGGAACATGTATTGCTGGACCTTTACAACCAGATCGTCGCCCCAGCGGCGGTGCCACCTCAAGCATGGAAATAATCGATTATCACTGTCATTCACAAGTCTGGCGATGCGGCCGATGCAAAAAACTATCGCCCAATTACAATAATCCCTGTCCTGTTCAAGTTGTTTGCCAAGCTGCTGTACGCCCAGCTGTACCCGATATTGGATGCACGTCAATGTGAGGATCAAGCTGGGTTCCGGGGCAATTTCCGCACGGCGTACCATTTTTCACAGTGAAAATGTTGTAGGAGAAGTGTTCTGAATGTCAACAGCAGCTATGGACGGCCGCCTTGGATTTTCGCAAAGCCTTCGACTCCATCGAGCAGGACCGCTTGTGGCCAGCATTGCAGCGACAAGGTGTGCCGGACGGGCACTTGCGCCTTTTGCAAAACTTGTGTGCTGGACAGACTGCAAGAGTACGCATCCACAGAATGATCTAGCAGTTCCCGATTCAGCGCGGCACTAAACAAGGCGACCCTCTCAGCTCGCTGCTGTTCAACGCTCTCTTGAAAGATGCCATGCGCGCTGTTAAATCTAAGCGGAACCGCAAGGGATGGGGGCTCAATATTGGACAAGCCCGTTGGATCACTAACTTACGATTCGCCGTCGATGTCTTGTTGATTGGCACATCATTATGCCAGGTCCGGAACATGCTCCAAGGCATTCGCGACGCAGCTCGAGAAAGGGGTCTGGAACTCCACCCAGACAAGACGAAGATCTTGAGCATCGCTACGATGTGCACGGGACGACCCAAAGAAGCTGCAGTGAAGGTCGACGACCTGAACATCAAGATCATTCCATCTTCGGGTACGTGGGAATATCTGGGGCGACAGATTTCGTTCAGCAACACGCACGAGACTCAGATCGACCACATCGTTTCCATGGCGTGGACGAAGTTAAAAATTCACCGGGCTGAACACACAAGAAATCATTATTCCATCAATTCTCGTCTGCGGCTTTTTGAAAGCACGGTATCTTCGACCATGCTGTACGGCTGTGAAGTATATGGGTCTTGACCAAGCCTCTGGAGGACAAGGCGCGGCGAACCCAGCGACGGATGCTCCGAACGATCGTCCGCACACCCCGGAGGAGGCTGAATGCAGACGAGAACCAGAACGCATCCAGCGAGACCGCCGCAACCAACAGTTCCTCGAGCAGTCATACCAGTGACAGTATTCGAATTGACTTGGAGTCTTGGATCGAATGGGCGAGACGGGCGACCCGCAACGCAGAGCAGCGCCTGCAACGGATTCGAATTTCCGATTAGATTTTTGCACGCCGATCTTCGTCTCACAAGTGGTGGTATCGTTTACAGGGCTCGGAACACTCCTGGGCAAAATGGGCTTTGCAGCGGGCACCTTCTCAACCACATCACCGGCTCCGTCACGGAGGACAGCGGAAGCGATGGTTAGAGGCCGTAGAAAATTACTGTTTGATCTGAGGGCCGAGGCCCCGCCGCGCCGCCCTGCTCAGGGCCGGATCCCCGGATCCGATGGCAGCGCGCTCGCTCGCTCGCTCGCTACTTCCCCTCCTGCGTCGCTGTCCAACAAGCCCCGCAGCAATGGCAAGACAAAGGCGGGCGGGCGCGGCGCCGCCGCGAGTTTTTTCCCTAGAATGGGTCAGGGGCCGCGGCCATTTTTTTACCTAACAGCGAAGACTGATAGGTTTCTAGTGGGGTCAAAAGAGAGCATCATGACTCCCCAGGGGGGTCTGGGCAGGATCCGGACGGGTGCCGCGGGAATCCGGGGATTGCCCTTCCTGGGCATGATTTTGAATGCCTGGAGCCAACTGTAGGCCACTTCGTGTTCTTCGAGTTCCCAGAACTCCATTCCTGGACATGTTTTTGAATGCCGGGAGCCAACTGTCGGCCACTTCGTGTTCTTCGAGTTCCCAGAACTCCATTCTTGGGCATGATTTTGAATACCCGAAGCCAACTGTCGGCCACTTCGTGGTGTTCGAGTTCCCAGAACTCCATTCCTGGGCATGATTCTGAATGCCCGGAGCCAACTGTAGGTCACTTTGTGGTTTTCGAGTTCCCAGAACTCCATTCCCGGGCCACATTTTGAATGCTGAGGCAGGCTGCTGCTGAGGCTGAGGCAGGCTGAGGCTGAGGCAGGCTGAGGCCGAGGCTGAAGGCAGACTGAGGCTGAGGCTGAAGAGGGCTGAGGCTGAGGCTGAGGCAGGCTGAGGCTGAGGCTGAGGCAGGCTGATGCTGAGGCAGGCTGAGGCTGAGGCTGAGGCTGAGGCAGGCTGAGGCTGAGGCAGGCTGAGGCTGAGGCCGAGGCTGAAGGCAGACTGAGGCTGAGGCTGAGGCTGAAGCAGGCTGAGGCTGAGGCTGAGGCAGGCTGAGGCTGAGGCTGAGGCAGGCTGATGCTGAGGCAGGCTGAGGCTGAGGCTGAGGCTGATGCAGGCTGAGGCTGAGGCAGGCTGAGGCTGAGGCCGAGGCTGAAGGCAGACTGAGGCTGAGGCTGAAGCAGCTGAGGCTGAGGCTGAGGCAGGCTGAGGCTGAGGCTGAGGCAGGCTGATGCTGAGGCAGGCTGAGGCTGAGGCTGAGGCTGATGCAGGCTGAGGCTGAGGCAGGCTGAGGCTGAGGCCGAGGCTGAAGGCAGACTGAGGCTGAGGCTGAAGCAGGCTGAGGCTGAGGCAGGCTGAGGCTGAGGCTGAGGCAGGCTGATGCTGAGGCAGGCTGAGGCTGAGGCTGAGGCTGATGCAGGCTGAGGCTGAGGCAGGCTGAGGCTGAGGCCGAGGCTGAAGGCAGACTGAGGCTGAGGCTGAAGCAGGCTGAGGCTGAGGCTGAGGCAGGCTGAGGCTGAGGCTGAGGCAGGCTGATGCTGAGGCAGGCTGAGGCTGAGGCTGAGGCTGATGCAGGCTGAGGCTGAGGCAGGCTGAGGCTGAGGCCGAGGCTGAAGGCAGACTGAGGCTGAGGCTGAAGCAGGCTGAGGCTGAGGCTGAGGCAGGCTGAGGCTGAGGCTGAGGCAGGCTGATGCTGAGGCAGGCTGAGGCTGAGGCTGAGGCTGATGCAGGCTGAGGCTGAGGCAGGCTGAGGCTGAGGCCGAGGCTGAAGGCAGACTGAGGCTGAGGCTGAAGCAGGCTGAGGCTGAGGCTGAGGCAGGCTGAGGCTGAGGCTGAGGCAGGCTGATGCTGAGGCAGGCTGAGGCTGAGGCTGAGGCTGATGCAGGCTGAGGCTGAGGCAGGCTGAGGCTGAGGCCGAGGCTGAAGGCAGACTGAGGCTGAGGCTGAAGCAGGCTGAGGCTGAGGCTGAGGCAGGCTGAGGCTGAGGCAGGCTGAGGCTGAGGCTGAGGCAGGCTGAGGCTGAGGCTGTGACTGCGACTGCCGTTGCCACTGCGACTGTCATCGCGAATGCGACTACGACTGCGAGAACAGCAGAATTCTACAAGTGGATTCTCATCTGAATCTTAAGGGGAATGCTTCCAGATATGCTCATACACATCGCTTTTATGCTGTTTTGCCGGGATGATTTCCTAGAATGGGTCAGGGGCCGCGGCCATCCGCACTTGGACTGGAGCATGGGTCATAGGCACTTAAGAAACGACGATCGAGGCTGCCTGCTCGGCTGCAAATGCTGGCGAGATAGCCTATTCCACTATGTCGGTTGCCGCCGCTGTCTTTGGAATGTGGCGATGGTCTTCCGCTTGAAGACCCTGACCCAGACCCGAGAGATTGGCCATAGTCGCTGACCCGCTTGCGTCAGGTTGTCAGCCTCTATCACTTCCACCGCCTCCTGCATGCGCGGAGTCGGACTCGTGCTGGGAGTGGCACACCTGGCCCCGCAGAGTCGCTCGAGATTGCAAGGGCCGCCCGCCTTGCTTCGGATCTGCCGACGGGCAAGTGGCGGCGGTCGCCACGCAAACGCGGTCAGGCTTAATGATTAGACGGGCTCATGGCGACGCTCCTCCTCCTCCTCCTCCTGCTCCTCCCCCTCCTGCTCCTCCTCCTCCTCCTCCTCCTCCTCCTCCTCCTCCTCCTCCTCCTCCTGCCTCTCTCTCCTCCTTTTATTCGCCCCCTCCCTCCTCTCCCTCGCCTTACGTACCCGGCGCGTGCATTGTACGCGCAGCCCTCGGAAGCCCATCGCGAGGGACACCAGTGCAATCCGGCCGAAGCCCCGGGTTTTTATGCCGCTGGGCCGCTTCACCGTCAGCATACCAGAGGGCACAGCTGAGCTATTCGGGAGAGCCCCATGATCCCAGATCCCCTCGCGTTGTGAAAAATCACGACGGGAGGTTTTTCTATATTTTCGGCTTCCGGGGGCCCTTGCCGGGCCTCGGGACCGTCAAAACGATTCAGAAGGAAAAACCGGTCCTGGAGAAAGGGTCCTGACCTTTGGATGTCGACGTTGTGAAAAAATCACGACGTCGGGGGTCTGGGATCACCGCGACAGCGCAGGCGTGGTATTTGGGCACCCCGAGCGAGAGCCGCCAGGGAGGAGGATACCCGCCCGTTCGCGCCCAGTTTGGTGGGCATGCCTCAAGCGGTTCGCTTGTTCTTGCCCCCATCGACTCCGTTCTCTTGAGAGCCTCACGGTCACCGCGACAACGCAGGCGTGGCGCTTGGGCATTCCAAAGTGGGGAGCCGCCAGGGAGGGGGACACTCGCCCGTTCGCGCCGAGACCGCGGGGAGGTCTCAAGCGGGGTTGTCGATGTTGGCTCCCAGGCTCCTCTTCTTCCTCCTCCTCCTTCTCCTCCTCCTCTCCTCTCCCTCTCCTCCTCCTCCTCCTCCTCCTCCTCCTCCTCCTCCTCCTCTCCTCCTCCTCCTCCTCCTCCTCCTCCTCCTCCTCCTCCTCCTCCTCCTCCTCCTCCTCCTCCTCCGCTCTCCTCCTCCTCCTCCTCCTCCTCCTTCCTCCTCCTCCTCCTCCTCCTCCTCCTCCTCCGCTCTCCTCCTCCTCCTCCTCCTCCTCCTCCTCCTCCTCCTCCTCCTCCTCCTCCTCCTCCTGCGTCGCCGTCCGAGCGAGAGCCGCCAGGGAGGGGGACGCTCGCCCGTTCGCGCCGAGGCCGCGGGGATGTCTCAAGCACTTTGCTTGTTGCCGCCACCAAGGCGCCTCTCTATCTAGAGCCCCACGATCACAGCGATGCAGCAGGCATGGCGTAAGGGGTGTTACACTTGCCAGTTCGCGCCCAGACTGGGGGTCCTCTCCGGCGCATTGGTTCGGCCACCTCCGGCCCCTCTCCTTTCAGAGCCCCAAGAGCATGCTGGTGCAGCAGGCAGAGCATGCGGGCATTCCTTGTGGGAGCCGCCAGGGGACGCTCAGTCACCACATGCTGAGATTAGTTCATTCAGACACACAGACGTGAGTGCCAGGAACTGAGATGCACTCATGCGGATCTCCGCGTCGATTCGTGTCTCTCTCCGAGGTGAATGGAAGGGGTATCAGGGAGGGAGGGGCGGAGGGAAGGAACCTGAGGGAAGGAACTGCAGGGGGGGGAAAGAGGAGGCGAAGGTGAGGGGGAATTGGGAGCGGGCCGGAGGGGGGGGACGGTGATATTTCGTCACGCCCCCCCCCCTCCTCTCCACCCCCCCTTTTGTTCACACTCATGCTCTCCCTCCTCTTGCTCTGTCGTTCTTCATTTCCTGTTGTGTCTGTCTGTGTGTCCGTCTTTCTCTCTCTCTCTCTCTCTCTGTTCCCCTTCCTCCTGCCCTCCCCATGCTTCCCCTCCAGCAGACCAGGCCGTCGGCATCACCAGGCCCAACTGGGTGGGGGCAACTCGCGGGGCAGTGCCGTGGGATGGGACATGCCAAACTGAGGAAGGGCATGATTCGGCTACGAAGCTTGGCATTCTGCGAGGTAGAGTAGGATCGAGGATGGATTATGTTAAGAGTGTTTGGCCCGTGTTTGGACCCTGCTTGGCTTCGTAAACCCCCGATGCCTCTAGAGGTCTTTGTGGACCTCCGGGCCCGGACACAAAGAGTGAGAGGGAGCCAGACTGGAAGATAGAGAGAGAGGGAGAGAACAACAACTTAGCCTGGCGAAGAACCCAACCATCTGCAGTAGTGAGTACCG